GGCTTTGCTCTTTAATGGTTTTGGACATTGAGGGTGGTGCTCCAACTAATCTTTTCCTAAACTTCAATTTCCTCAATCTACAGAATGGAAATAAAAAATGTTTATGTTTACCTCTTACAACAGTTGTGAGAAATAAGAGCTAACTGATGTGGAATAGTCAGCATAATACATTCAACTAAAGTGCTCTTAGACTTTGCATGATGTATGACTAAGATTATGGGTGTTTTACTAAACTTTCTAACTCTACTGAGTTTCTCAAGTATCCATTAAAGAAGACTTGACCTGAATGGTTTTAGTTAATGTTCTGGCCTATCCTACATTTTGGGGCGATCTCTTCTACCCAGTTATTATGCTGCTTGCAGAAAATGATTTCCTGTTTCTTTTCATGCCACTTTCCATCTACATACACACTGTTGCCTGGCTCTGAGTTTTTGTGTCCTCTCAGTTCATGTCACTATATTCAAGACAGGGATGGGAGACAGGTAGGTGTACCTCAGGTTAAGGGAAGAATGATCTATGTTTCATCCAATTTATTTAAATGCCTTGTAAGTTTACAGGTTTCTCACCCAGGGAACTCTGTGAGTCTGACTGGGGTCACATAATAGGGCCACTGTGGAGCTAACCAGGCAGGAGGCAGTAAAAATAAACAAGAGGATGTGTGTCTTGGGGGGAGGAATATTTTCTTGATGGAATAGGTAGGAGGCACAAGGTACACAGAAAACCACAAATTACCACCAATGGAGCCATGAGCAATTAACAACTGCATGGGGTAATGACACTCTGATAGAGATATTTCCAATGTGGAAGCAGGCTTTGTTTCACTCAGGATATTTCACTGTCAGGCTTCCTTCCTTTCTTGCTCTCCCGTAAAACCCGAGCAAGTTTCCTTGAGAACCATGACAGAAGGGAGCTTTGATTTACTGTGTGTATTTGAGTTGGCTCCTCCTTCACTTGTAACTGGGACTGGAAAACACTCCAAACAGAGTGTTTCATTCTAACAGAAGGCATCACTGAGTCAGAAAAGACAAATGCATTTCTTTTACCTCTTTTTGAGACACTAGCAACTAGTCTTCAGAGTTCGCTAAAATGTAATTTATCTATGCATGGGTTACTTTCTATTTCATTATGTATCTTTCATAGTCTCTCTCTGTCAAATGCCAGTCCTACCCTTTCTTGCCACTCTAGGTGAAAATTAACCATCAGGTCTGGATAGCTATGGGAAAGTTTGGATAACGCTGAGGAATCAACATAGATGAAACTCAGTCAAGAGAAATGGAGACTAAGAGACAGATCACAGGGAACTTTTCCAGGTGTGATTGTCTTTTTACTTTAAAAGTGTATTTGATTTTATTTCCTGTAACAATCTCCTTTAATTAAAGGTAATATAACTAATTTTGGAGGCAAGGGGAGGGCAGGAGGACTTACATGAATCCAAACATGATGAGTGGTGACAGAATGGTTGCAGGGCAAAGAATCTTCCTATCACATCTAGAACAAGGTGACAACAGGGCAATTGACTTAGTTTATGTTAACCTTTATGGCTTTGCACAAAGTGGGAATTTAGTGAATGTTTTGGATGATTTTATGTTGCAAGCAATTGCAGGCTTGGCTTCTTACAAGTGCGTTCTTGTACCCAAAGATATTTCAGGTTAAGAATGTAGGACTACCAGTTTTTAGTGGAAGTTTTTAAATCCTACAGTTAGGGAAAAAAAACAAAACAAAACAAAACAACTATTAATCCCTAAATAGAATCTCTCCATGCAGCTTTCAGAGTAATATGCACCTCTCCCAGATGGGCTCTGGGGAGCTAGTGAGAGGAAGGTTATATATGCAATCTTCCAAATTATAACTGCTCATCCCATAGTCTTAATCCTGGTGCCTCAAAGGCAGGTGAAGACTAGACTGAGCAAAGCTGGTTGCACTGAGGAGAAGGAGCTAGGACAAGCCAGACAACATGGAAGCAATGTCCAAAACCTGAAGTTCAGAGTTAAGAGGAAAGATTTCTCTTTCCCAAAGGTACTCAGTGTACTTGATGACTGCTACTAAATTGAGTGAATTTTCAATGTTCACATCAGTTATAAATTGCAAAAGTACTAGTAAAATTAAGAAACTCCATAAAGTTAGAGGTAGTAAAAGAAGGAAATGATTTGGGCAGATTATGGTGAGGAACAGTAGAAGGAGTATGTTATATACTGTAATAGGAAACTTTATGAAAAAGCTCACGGGTTATTTATAATCAAGTACCCACATCATCTTAAGTTTCACTAAAATTACTTAGAATTAAACATAATCTTAGTTTTAAATAATGTCAAGTAATGAATTTACATGGATTATTCACATGGAAGTTAATTTTTACTCAACCTACAATAAAAAATTTAGGTACAGATGTGCAAGATTAATTCCTTAAATGATAAGATCATGGTCAGTTAAGGGCCATAACATTGGCAAAGAAGTTAAAGAATGAGGGAATCGGTGTTCTCATGCATCAGACACAGCAGGCCCTCCTGAACCAAAGATGACAACATGTGTTGGAAATCTCAAAATAATGTAGGCCTCTAACTGAACATTTCAACTTTTACAAAAACTTATCCACGTGAGTAAGCAATTATGTTTGCATGTGAAAAGAGTTATCTACAATAATAGTTTATTTGGAGAATACTTACAATAAAATATGGGTACAATTTAAAATTTCACAGCAGGGGGGCCTCCCCGGTGTTGCAGTGGATTGAGTGCTGCGCTGTGAAGCTGTCCGCAGACTCTGCAGCACGGGTTGTATTCCCAGCCAGCCAGGGAGAAACCCACGTGACCCAGCAGGCCTCTCCTGCCTTGCCTGCTGCTCCCCTCAGCAGTGTCTTCGGTCATCTGCCTGTTCTGTTCCCCACTCTCTTTGGAGAATTCTTTCACCCTCCCATGCCTCTGACTTTACCCCAGTTCTTGTATAAATAAATAAATCTTAAAAAAAAGGACAATATTTAAAAATAAATAAATAAAATAAAATAAAATTTCACAGCAGGGAAGTGATTTAATGAAGTCTGTCCACATGGAATATTATGTAGCCATAATAAGGAAGTCCTTAGATAAACATGCAATTACCTGAGAAAATGTTTATGAGACAGTGCCATATAAAAAGGCAGCTTACAAAAAAGCATCTCATTTGAAAAAAGGGATAATCTACAAAAGAAACAAGAATACAGGGCCTTCCCGGTGGCGCAGCGGTTGAGCGCTGGGTTGCGAAGCTGCCCGCAGCCTCTGCAGCGCTGGTTTGATCCCCGGCTGCTCCCCGGCCACCGGAGGAGGGTCAGTGTACTTCGGTCCTTCTGCCTGCTCTGCTCCCTGCTCTGGCTCTGGTGAATTCTCTCACCCTCCCACGCTTCTGACTGTACCCAGTGCTTGCATAAATAAATAAATAAATAAATAATTAAATAAATAAATCTTTAAAAAAAGAAACAAGTATACAAATAAATGCCATAAGAAAGTCTGAAAGAATCTACATTACAATATTGACAATTGTTTTAATTTTTTAAATTTCCTACTTTGAACCACTATTATTTTATCAGAAAAATGCAAATTAAGCAATTAAAAGAATTTTCTGTTACATTATTTATACCTACTAAAGATAGAAAAATTGTGTCAATGTAATAATTAACATTTTTGTGTACTTAAAGCAGATGAATGTTATCAATGCATACATCAATATGCCAGAATTTATAAAAAAATGTAAAGATGAATTTCTTTCCAGTTTTATGGAGAAATAATTGACATACATCAGTGTGTAAATTTAAGGTATACAGCATGATAGTTTGATCTGTAGGTATTGTGGAATGATTACCACAACAGGTTCAGCTAACTTCAATCTAAATATTAGAATCTAAAATTGCATTTATTTGTAACAATCCTTTTTTTGTTGTTTTACACAATATACTCTTTTGCTTAACCTTCTGTATTAACAAAAGGGATTTAGTATAGCAAGTAGTATCTAAATGTTAATATATGAACAGAAGCAGAGCTATCTATTCTGTGCAATACTTCTCTCAGCTGTTTTCATGAATAAACTAAAGAATAGTAGCTCATCCTAGGCCTATCTCATGCTTCCATCTGATGCCCACAGGCACCTGGTAGGCAGCAATAGGCAGGTGTGTCTTCAAGAATTCATGGCTAATGTGGTACGGTGTAATATGATCTCTAAAAAGGGGGTGCACAAGGGAAATCCTGGATGGTAAAATAGGATGGATGCCACTGACGTGAACCCATGGAGACAATGGAGTAGGGTTGCCCATGGAGACAATGGAGTAGGGTTGAAAGGGAGAGTTAGTGGGAACCCAAAAAAAAGGGGGTCTTTGCATTGGACTGCAATGGTGAAGAACACACAGCTGATTCCTGAGAAAAACTGTGTTGCCCAGGCACCATCTATTAAGCCCAAGACAGCAATTTCCTCTTCCTCTACCTGTCCTGAGTTTAGATTTATCTTGTGGGACTTTCACTTGTCAACCGATAATATTTACTGACAGTCTATAATGTGCAGAGAGCTCTGCTAACTGTTATTACAGATTAAAAAAAAAAAAAAAAGTCTGAAATGAGATACCTCCCCCCAGAGGCCAATGATCTACTCAGTTTGTTACTATAAAGGCTCAAACAATGGGGCCTCCCTAGTGGCACAGCGGATTGAGCGCTGCACTGTGAAGCTGTCTGCAACCTCTGCAGCATGGGTTGGATTCCCGGCTGGCCAGGGAGATACCCACATGGTGTGGCAGACCTTTCTTGTCTCTGCTCCCCTCAGCAGTGTTTTTGGTCCACCTGCCTGTTCTGTTCTCCACTTTGTCTCTGGTGAATTCTCTCAACCTCCCATGCTTCTGGCTTGTACCACAGTTCTTGTATAAATAAAATAAAAATCTTTAACAAAATTTAATAAAAAATAACAGATTAAGATAAATTATTTATCCCTTCCATTTCTTTGAATCTCTCTTAGTGTTTAGTAGAAGGTGTTTAATGCTAAGTGCCAGAATTATCATGCTTTTGATGGTCTCTCAACTACTTACTGCTACAAAGGAAATTGAAAAGTTTAAATGATTTTTAAATGTATACCCAACATCTTTAGGACATGAAGAACATTTGCCTTACTAGTTAATTCATGACTGTATAATCTCTCTACTCATTTCATTAATACAAAAGCTTTACAACAGTTATGGGCTTCAACAGATATGTGGTAATTTTCTCTAGAAATGTTTACTTGTTTTGCCAAACTCAACAATATCCAATAGGGAACTTCCTGTCTTTCATCTATTTTACTTGAGTTTTCACCAAACTTGAATGGCATAGGTAAGTGACCTATCTCCTATCCCCAAATTTAAACATCTTTCTGAGCTTAGTAAGAAAACAATACACATGAGCCTCCATTCCTACTTGTTTGAGAAAACAAAGACATTTAGGTATTCACATGTCATTGAATTCATTTGGGTCTTTGAATACTTGGGCTTCAAATTTCATCTGGTTCTGTAAAACAAAAGTGTTCAAATTAGTACAGATCTCCAAAGAAGGTAGAACAAAACTTGTAACACAATTTTTTTTCACTCATGGATAGCAATGGTGCTGATCATATTCCAAACACAAAGTTAGGCCTGAGGCCACAAAGATTAGCAAGACTATATGACCATTTCTCCAGGAATTTCCATTCTAAGAGGGAGAAATCAACCAGAGACTGAATAATTTAGTTAATTACAATGAGGGCACCAAAAAGGTGAGCATGAGGTAGACACTGGGGAAGTAGTTAGGCCATAACCATGCTTGGATGAGGAGCAGAGGCATCTCAAAGATCAGAGAAGCTGGAAGGGATTTGGAACAAGGAACAAGGGTTGATGATGGAGGAGAGGTAGTTAAAGTAGTCAATGGCATTTGAGTAGAGATGGGAGTCTAAGGCATGTGAAGATCTAGAGGAAAACCATTCTGGAGAGAGGCCATAGTAAATGCAAAAGAAACTAGGGAAGAATAGCAAGGCAGCTAGTGTAGTTCCAGTGGCAAGAAAGAATGAATGATAAGAAATGTGGTTGGAGAGAGAAAATGCAGATTTCAGAACTCACTGGGGGGTACCAAGCAAGGGAAAGACATTTAAGATTTTAAATACATGGGATTTTGTGAAGAATAATCAGTAGAAGCAAGAACTAATGATCTAAGCCAGGTGCCAGTTGATAGAGTCTTTAGGTTGGTCACCAACAGAGATGTGGAGAAGAATTTATATCCAAGGATATATTTTGAAGGAGTATCTAGTAGTGCTATGTGAAAGACATTAGGAATGAATCCTATTTTTTGTCTGAACTGAAAATATGGAGGTGTCATTTATTGAGATGGGGAGACTAGGGAAGGGGCAAGTTTTGGGGTAAAAATCAAGAGATTATAAACTGAAAATGCTGGGTAGGGAGCTCAAGAAACAGATATTTTGTGCCTCCCTGAGAGGTTAAAGTCTCAGTGCTATCAAGTTATAGTCAGCCTCTGTGGCCTGAGTTTGATCCCTGGCCAGGGAGCTAACCCATATGGTGCAGCAGACAGCTCCTGTCTCCCCTGGTGCTCCCCTCAGGAGTGTATTTCAGTAGATCCACCTGTTCTGCTCCCAATTCTGTCTCTGGGGAATCCTCTCACCCCCACTCCACTGCACCTCTGGTCTCGACCCCAGTTCTTGTATGAATAAATAAATAAAAATAAATCTTAAAAAAAAAAAAAAAAACAAAGATTGCAGTGGGGGTTATTTAAATGGTAACCACCTTCTTAAAATCTTTCATTGAATCCTCATGACCTTCAAGACAAAATCCAAGCTCTAAGCCTCACAGTAGTCAGTCCTTCTATATTTTCAGTGTCAGTCTCATATCAGACCAAATACTCTTCTAAGGTAGTTTCATTTATATCTCTTGTTAAACTCTCATTCATATGTAATAACCTTTGCTTGGATTATTCATCTCCATTTTGATCTGACTGTCTTTAGAAAGCCAGGTAAACCTTCCATGTCCCACTAATCATTCACATATTATTTCTTTTTTTAATTTATTTATTTTTATACAAGAACTGGGGTACAAGCCAGAGGCATGGGAGGGTGAAAGGATTCACCAGAGACAGAGTGGGAAGCAGAACAGGCAGACGGACCAAAAACACTGCTGAGGGGAGCAGTGGGTGAGACAGGAGAGGTCTACTGCACCATGTGAGTATCTCCCTGGTTGACCAGGAATCGAACCTGTGCTGCAGAGGCTGTGGACAGCTTCACAGAGCTGTGTTCAACCCGCTGCACCACCGGGGAGACCCCACATATTATTTCTTTCAGCGGGTTTCAACTGCCTCATTCCATTCAAATCTCTAGGAATTCTATCTAGCATCACATACTTAGTGAATGAACTTGAATAAATTGCCTGAACTCTCTGAACCAGTATTCTTATTGGTATTCTTGGTAAAATGAAGTAGGGAAAATAGTAACTACTTCACAGGATGTGAGGGAGATTAAAGGAGGTGATATGGGGCATAGTTTATACACATTGCCTGGTATAGATGAAGCATTATATAAGTAATTACTATTATAATAATAGTTATCACACTGTTGTGTAATTATTTTCATGTTGTTTTTTTCCCCCAGGAAAATACTAGTCTTTGAGTGCAATCATTGAGATTTTCATTTGTGTTTCTGGCATCTATTAAGCCTTAGTAGTTGTTTTTTACATGAATGAATGAATGAGAAGTAATAGTACTGGGCTATAATAGCAAAATGAAATGAACAAGCAGCTTCTCTTTCAGAGGATTCTCTCTATTGAGAAGTTATTCATTGTGGGTTAATGTGATTCATCTGATCCATTACTCACAAATTAAAGGTTATTGGACCTACATTATATTTTGAGACTATTCAGTGAAAATAATATAATTACCTTTGGATCAGGTAGACATGGTCCAAAAGCTTCTAGTAACAGAGTTTCTTCTCTTACAGCTTGTTCATAGTCTGCAAAAGACAACTTCCCATCATGGTCATAGTCCTGGGCACGGGGGGGAAGGTGACAAAACATTTGTCAGTCAACCTGTAAAATATTTATTGCAAATATATCCTGGTTTTCAAGGTCAAATGTTAGCAGATCTTAGTAAAATAAGTTACTGAACATTAAAGTTGAAAAGAACTTTTATTATTATAATGAAAGAGCAGAATCCAAGTATTTTATTTCACCAAGCAGAAAACTGGTACTTATGTAATTATATAATTTGAATTCTTTTTCTATCCCATATATGGCCTTCAATTTCAATTTCATTATCCATATTTACCATTTTCTTAAGTGTTATTTCCACCAAATCTTTAATTCCTTCATCAGGATCTTCTTCAGAAGGTTGTTTGAGAAGGCTATTCTTCAACATATGGAACATTTCCTCTTTTGAAATAAATCCATCACCATTCAAATCAAAAACTTCAAAACAATCTATAAAAATAGCAAATTATGAATATGATACAATCACTAAGGAAATTCTGCACTCTGATAAGGTTTTCAAGACCACTTAGCCATAGAAAAACATGCCAAGGAACAACAACTTGAACATTTTCATTCTGAACCTCTTGGAAAACTGATTGACATATGATCCTTAATAGGTCATCAGATTTAATTAAGAATTTGCTAAGAATCAGAACATTGAATCAATATTCTTTCATTCTATGGCCAAAATTTATGTAAGGAAATGTGTAAGCTCTTTAATATATAAATGAATGCACACATAATGAACATGCGTTGTGTATGTCTTTATAGTCTTGCTTAACATGAATTATCCTCAGAACCTTTTGATTTTATTTTTTATTATTTTTCAACCCTATCATTAACTTGAATTTACTTCATAAAAGGGACTACTGGGGATTCAAGTCAAAAAACAAGCAAACCTTCTATATTGACTGGGTTGGAGGTCACCGATTTAGATACTTTAGATAGAGTAATCATAATATACAAACCAGTAGGATAACCTGAAATCTTACATTTCATTTTCTCTTCCAAAGTTCCTCGAAGAAACAATGATAATCCATAAATCCACTCTGACACACTTACGCAACCATCGTTGTCTTTATCAAAACCTCGGAATACTAAGATGAGAGAGAAGTACAACATAATACTTGTGCTGCAATTTTTTTCTCAGTAATGAATCTACTCATTTTTAAAATTCAGGATCCTATGGTCCAACATTCTCAATGACAAAGGAAGAAACTAAGATACTATAACATTAAATAGACACATGCAGTGTCTATGGAAAACAGTATGCAGATTTCTCAAAATTTTAAAAATAGATTTACCATAATTTCCAGCAATTCTACTCCTTTATATTTATTCAAAGAATGTAAAAATGCTAATATAAAGGGATATATACACTCTGATGTTCATTGTAGCACTATTTACAATAGCCAAGTTATGGCTAATTGCCTAAGACAACCTAAGTGTACAAATACAGAAGAGTGGATTAGAAGATGTGGCATATATACACAATGGAATACAGCTTTTAAAAAATATGAACTCTTGCTATTTGATAACATGGACAGAACTGGAGGGGACAGTGGTAAGTGAAACAAGTCACAAGGAGAAAGGCAAATAGTGGCTGGTTTCTCTTACATGTGGAATATAGAGGAACAAAACACAGGTTCAGATTAAACAAGCCAATAACCAACACTATAAATCTGACTGTAGAATTGAAGCTACAATACAGAAGTGGGAGAGAGAAGGGCATAGTGAAGAAGGGGCATGATGGACTTTGATGGAGGGTTATGGGTGCATTAGTGGTAGATGTGTTGTGGCACATGCATTTGGAGGGAATGATCCTACAAATTAGACACATTGCTATAAACCAATGTCACCTTAATTAAAAAAATAAAAAAAATTAAAAAAATAAACTATCTATTAAGGTGGAGAGTAAAGTGAGGAGCGAACACCATGGACTATGGTGGAAAAATACTGGTGCCTTGATGTGTGTGAGGTATTGCAACATATATCTGAAAAGGATTGTTCATTCACCTTTGGGACATATACAGAGTTGTTAACCAATGTTATTTCAATAAAAAGTATATATAAAACTATTCTATTTATAATTTTACTAAGTAGAAATATATATTATATATGTATGAGTTTCTGATATAAAGTGAAATCTAATCATTCCAACTTATTTGTCCTCTTCTTAGATACACAAAGATAAAAACACAATTTATGTATGAGTGAAATGGAAATGTAGAACATTAAGCTTCCTACCAAGTATGTACAAACTCCAAACTTTTTTTTTTTTTTTAGTTATGCTTATATTTGGCCAGTTTGGATCTTGTGATTTCTTACCTCTGTCCAAAATCATGTCATCTGTCATTCCAAATGTTGTGTGCAGGATGTTTCTAAATGCATTACGATCTAGTCCAATGACGACACCTGGTCGCTCTGTTACGTCTCCCACCAAGTTATAAAAAAGATTGATGAGACATTTCACTTCAAATTTATTAACTGTCAAAGAATAAAATTGATAAAGCAAAATGCATTTTAATGTTCAGTATCTGACAGAAATTGCCATTAATGAGTTATAGATTAACAACACCAAAGCCATCAATTACATAGTTATCAAAAAATGACTAAACTGCTTTGAATTTCATGACATTAAAGTTAGTAGAAAATGCCCCCTAAAGTGCTAGAAAATGCCCTCCATTAAAATAAGTAGTCTTTCCTCCAAACAAGGTGAATATGAAAGAAATGTACATTTAATCACATTAGGGAAAAATAGTATTAGCCAAGTTATCCAAATAATGATTGTGGGTTTAGATCCTAAACTTTACAAGGCAATAGAAATGTGGTTCAAAGTTAAGCAGGGTAATGTTTAAGAATGCTAACCTCCCTCTGGTATTTTTATTTTAGGCATTCTTGATATTTACATCTTAACTTTTCCTGGAAATAGACAGTAGGCTCCTGAAAACCCAGCAAAAATTTTCATTTCACACTAGTCTTCAGAAATTTAAAAGTCATCTTCTAAAAAGCAGAACATTTATTTTCCAATAAAGAAGTGCTTAAACATATTCTAGCACCCACTGCAGTTCTAATGGAAGATGTGGTAATTAGAGAAAGGAATTTTCATTTTAAAAAATGTATACACACACGTGTCCTTGCCCAAATACATAACTGCATGAAGGTTGGTGTATACTCATACTGAATTAACTGCTTGTGTTCTAATCCCCATTTGAGGTATGTAAGTGAACAGTATTATTGCCTGTCATTAGGAACATGAAAGTGCATTTCAATATGAAGTATAAGTGGACGATGGAGAATATTTTATTTCAAAACAAATCAAAATTAAGTTCAATATTTTTGCAAAGAAGGTCAAAACCTGTGTGCATATAAAAGAGGACAGAAAATAAGTATGCAGTGACCACAAATCCTACAAGTCTTGACAGGCCTGAATGTGACCTCTGATTTTAAGTACCACAATTAAAAATAAACTTTAGAAAAATCAATCAAATAGTAGAATAGAATATAATGGCTATAATTCTAAAAAGTTGCTAACTGCTTTAGAAAATGACATGCCGGTTCCTCAAAGGAGTTAATATAGAAGCATTATGTTATCTAATAATTTCATTTCTGTAAATAAAATCCAAATGATGGAAAGCAGGAACTAATATACTTGTATACCAGTGTTCATAGCAACATCATTAACAATTACCAAAAGATGAAAAGCAACTGATTTGTCCATCCATGGGTGAATGGATAAGCAAAATGTGGTATATACAAACAAAGAAATATCATTTAGCCTTAACAAGGAAGGAGATTTTGATACATGTTATACCATGGATGAACTTGGAAGACATTATACTGAATGAAATAGGCAAGACAAAATAAGACAAATATTGTATGATTTCACTTATATGATGTAGCTAGAGTGATGAAATTCATAGAGATGGAATGTGAAATGTGGTTGCCAAGGGCTGGGGAGAGGGGGAAATGGAAGTTATGGTAAAATAAATAGAGCTTCACGGGCCTCCCTTTGTGGCGCAGCGGTTGAGCGCTGGGTTGCGAAGCTGCCTGCATCCTCTGCAGTGCCCGTTCGAAACCGGGCTGATCCCAGGCCACTGGAGAAGGGTCCTGCATGGCGCGCAGACCTCTCCTGCCGCCCGCTGCTCCCCTCAGCAGTGTACCTAGGTCCTTCTGCCTGCTCTGCTCCCGCTCTGGCTTTGGTGAATCTTCTCACCCTCCCGCACTTCTGACTGTACCCAGTGCTTGTATAAATAAATAAATCTTTTTTTAAAAAAATAAATAAATAGAGTTTCAGTTGGGAAAGAAGAAAAAATTCTGGAGGTGAATGGCGATGATGGTTGGGAAACAACGTGACTACACTCAATGCCACTGAGTTATACTTAAGTTGGGTAAAATGGTAAGTTTCATGTTATGTATACTTAACAGCAAAAAAAAAGTTCTAAAACTAAAAAAAGCAGTTAGTGGTTGGGGAGGAAAGTCTGCATGAAGAATGATGCACACTGTTCATGTGTATGAAAAGGGATGTTAATTAGATATTTTTCATCTCAGTTGAAATAAATATTAAAGGGTATTAATTCATTACCTGAAGGACCAAAGACTAACCATTAGAAAACTGTTCTTAGTGAAATGTCTCTTAAACTCTAGAATATAATACTAAATTAAATTAAGGGAAATTCAGGAATGGATTTTCATCTTTTTGAATTTGTCTAAGTGTGTTTTGTGTGTCATATCTGTAAATGGTGGATTAACTGTTGATCACTTAAGATTCTTTCTTCTCTGATTCTGTAAATTTTAGCCATTTCATCCTGGTAGGATATATCATCTGGCAACTAAAAGAAATCTGACTTTAAAGGAGAGGTCCTCTGTTTAAAGAAAGTGAAAATTTTTAAAATGTCCATGATTTGTTAACTATTTCTATAGACTTTAATTAGTAATCATCAAGGATTCTAAGGCTCACTTAATTTTTTATATCAAGACAAAACAAAAAAGGGTTGACTTTTTTTTGCCATGTTTTGACTGTTCACAGAATTTGTTTGCAATACATTGCAAAGTTACTGAACAGGGACTAAATCAAATTCAGCACTGTATGTAGCAATTATTGTTATAAGTACTAATGTAATGAGAATTATTCAAAATATTTACTGCACGTTTTAAGAAGATCTGATCTTTACCCAAGAATGGAAGAAAAACAATAAAACAAAAATATGATGGCAATATGATTATAACCACAATAAAACCTTAAATCACAGGATGCCTTTTAGATTCTAACAAATTTAAAATACTTAAAACACCATAACTTTTACTTACAGAACCACTCATCAGCTTAGATACTAGGAGCAATCAGAAGACATAGAACCACATAAAATATATTTTCTTCTTCCTTTTTTGTACAATGGGGATGTTCTCTGGATTAGTATGTTATCCATTTTTTCTCAAGTGGTCAGAGCACAATTTATAAGCTTACTCGTGTGAATGTCTTCCTCATGTAGACCATACTCCATAGCTATATTGCCCAGGTACAATTCTGTTTTTCTATTCAAATATAACACTAAAGTTACTTAAGAAATTCTAGGACCTTCTTTTAAAATATGCAATTGCAGCAGAAATCTTTAATGGGGCTCATCTTATCCCTGTAAAGTCTCTTTTGTCTTGCAACCACACCAACAACTGGAAAACATAAGCCTAGAGTGGGTAACAGATTCTTTACCATGAGTTTAGCTTTGCAAAGCTCCTTGCCTTCCATACACATCTCCTTGCTCTGAGATATAAGCATCTGTGGTGCTTCAATTGCTATGGCTATTCAGCCACTGATAAATATCTAGCCTTATGGATATCTTGGTAAATTTCCAGATCTTAGGACTTGCCAGTTTATTTGCTCTAAAAAGAGCTAGCAAGTGGGTATTAGTTGGTTATATTATTGTTCTTGAATCTAGTGTGTGTAGTATACACACCTGCGTTTGAAGTCAAAACCACATGAGTCTTGTGGATAAATATGTCATATTTCTATAATGTAAGTTAATGAAAAAGTAAGAAGGATAGATCCACTTAACACCTTTGAGAATGACCCAGAGTCAAAGCAACAACATCAGCAAAAACAAAACAAAACAGAAGCACGTTTCAAGGGTGTGGAGTAATAGGAACCCTCACACACTGTTGTTTGGAAAGTAGACTTGCCCAGCCCCTATGGGAGACAGTATAGAGGTTTCCTCAAATGTTAAAAACAGCTCTAACATACTATTTAGCAACTACACTCCTAAGTACTCCAGGAATGCAGAAATAATAATTTGAAGAGATATATGCACTCCTATGCTCTTTGCAACATTATTTAAAATAACCACTTTATAGAAACAATGTAAGTGCCCAAGAACAGAAAGATAAAGAAATGTGATACATATACAGAATGGAAAACTACTCAGCTATAAAAATGATGAACTCTTGCCATTTGACAACATAGGTGGAAATGGAGGGAATTATACTGAGTGAAATAAGTCAAAAAATGGCTGGAATATAAAGATATAAAATAAAGGAACAACTAATACTAATCAAAACCTTAGAAATCATTACGCTAGAAATCTGACTGTAAAATTGAGACCACCAAAAAGGGGATGGGGAGAGAGGAATTGAAAGTACAGAAGGAGCACTATTTTGAAGGACTCCTGGTGGGTGTGGTGTGGTAACATGCATTTGAAAATGTGTGTATTTCTATCTCTAAATCATATACAGTGTCACAAACCACCATTACCTTGATTAAAAAGAAAAGTACAATAAAAAGTAACTAAATAAATAAGAAGGTTGGAAAACAAATAAAATTAATCGTGGGAGTGTAGTACTGGATGCCTGGATACCTGATTACTGATCCTAAAGATTCTGAGCAGTTGTGGGTGCCAGCCGCAAGGTGCTAACACCCGAAGGACACAGGGTGGGGCTTGGGGATTCCCTTCCAAACATTTCTTTAGTGGGTGGGAGTAGAGGGTGCTCCACTGGCATTCAGGTTCTGGATGCAGGGAATATGCCCAAGGGCAGCACAGAAGAGCGCTTGAGACCTGATCCAGGAGCCCCGCCCGGCACTTGAATTTTACTTACAGTGTTTGCAATTTTTAGTTAAGGTGTCTGTCAACTTCTGCAGCTTCTTGCGGTTCATGCCAGGCGCTCAGAAAATCCAGCCTCCGCAGGTGTCTGGAGGCACGTGCGTGCTTGGACCCTCGCGCGCGCCCGGGTTAGAGCCCCATCTCCACACTAGGGCGTGTGGGCGGCCTGAATACACTGTCTGCCATGGCAACGTCTCAGCCTGTTACTGATTGGCTCTCGGGATGGCAGGTCAATGCGTTGCTCTAACACACAACGTGGCCATGGCAACGACTGGGACAGCTGCCAATTGGTTTCTGGGACCAGAGCACTCGGCCCCACTTGAGAGTCCCAGCCAGGCACTCTGCGGACTGTTCAGATTGCTGACGTTGGGAATTTTAATTTTAAGTTTTTGCTGTCTTTTGAGTTCACAGCATCTTTGATTGTACTGTAAATCATCAAGGTTTAAAAATATGTTGTGTACGCCATGTGAGGGATGTTTTGTGTAGTTAGCATTACACCACGGGAGGCTTAAGGCATTCAGGGTAATCTGGGGCCTCTTGGAGGGACTACAAGAATATGCAGGTGTGTTATTCAGTGGATTTTTTCACCAATTGCAGGACCTTGCTTTTAGGGATAAAGCACTCTTGGTTGTCAGTCCTTTCGCTAAGATGCCGGGAAGGAGTCTGGAACAAGTTGCCTTCAAGTTTGTGGTGATGTTAACTGAGAGCCAGAGAGACTCTTTCCATCCTACTCTCCTGTTTTCCTTTTAATCTTGGTGGTGGAAATGGAAGCTGTTAGTGGAATCAGGGAAAAGCCAATGACATTTTTTAAGCCAGTTAAAGAGACAGCCCCTTATAGGAACAGGCAGGCAACCTGCCCCTTAGCTATGGGGTACAGCACAACCTCGCTTTTCTGGAAAGCATCCCAGTAAAATGGCTTCTTTGCTTATTTGAAAGGCAGGTCTGTGACTGCCAAGAAAGGATAGTCCTTGCATTGCAGCGTGAGAGGACTTTTTGCTCTTCTTAACCACAGATGAGACACTCTTTTTGAAATATCAGATAGCAATAATATGAATTAGCTCAGCCAGGAACACAAAACGGACAGTATTCTTCAGACGGGAAGAAGTTCACAGGGGAAAATGCCTTTGAATACAAACTATTTTATAGTATGCATACTGTGTTCCTTACACTGAAAGCAGAACAGTTCTGCCAACCATAGGTAACAATCCAAAGTGAAGTAGTTTTAGTTCTGTGGGCTCTGATTCTTCTTCCATGTTATATCTGTTTGTTGCATGAAGACTTAGGATGCTGTTTGTAGAAAAAATCAAGAATGCTCGTTAAATGTAGTAACTATATTATTCTAAAGCAAATTCCCTAAAAAAACAGTATGAAATGATAGTGATTATGAATGTGCAACAGTTTACTGATTAAATAATAGTCCTGTGTGTCCTCTAGTCCAGCACCTGCCACAGCCCTGTAGGAAGGACTGGATGTATTCTTACACCCACCTGTGCAACCTAACCTCAGTGGCTTTTGTTAGATTATGGTGTTGAGGGCTCCAATGAAGACTGTTGTAGGGCTCATTTCAGAAGTCAAGGAGCCAAAAGAGAGGTTGTCAATGGTCACTGAAAGATGCCTTGTGTCCCACCTGGCTAGTGCAGGTGTGTCTGCCAAGAACCATCTCTTAGGTGTGCTGTACTGACACCTTGCTGGCACAAATTGGGAAGGACATTGGTGGGGCGCACATTGGTAGGTGTATCCACACATCTTGACAGAAATAGTACACTGGGAGATAGTTGGGCAGCACCTACAGGTGAGTTAATCAGGTCTTACTTCACAAGCTTCAGACCCAGCATCCATTAAGCATGTTTCCTTGAAGTGGAAAAAATGATGTAAGGACAATATCAGAAATGATTGAGATTAAGAGTCAAATCTGTTATATCAGGCAAAAATTCCTTAACTTCATAAGAAAGCTTTGGCTTTGTCAGCTACCCTCTTGTTATTCTCCCTGTTCTCTAGAGCATTCACAGAAATCTGGGGCCTCTTGGAGGAGCTTCAAGAATATGCAGATGTATTATCCAGAGAATTGTTTCACCAATTTCAGGGGAGTAAGGATCTTGCTTTTAGGGATAAGCCACTCTTGGTTGTACATTAAAGTACTTCCCATTGGGTCTCTGCCACCCAATTCTTTCTTCCATGTTATTATTTTAGCAAAACATTTCCAAATGCATTATTCTGGGAAACTCACTTCTCTAATGGGGGGCTGCAGAATTGACCTTATTATACGGTCTTGCAAATCTTTCTCAATGAAAGCACAGTATTTATTTGGAACATGTTTTGTTAATGTATTTGTAAAATTCAGAGTGTTTGTCACATTCCTGTGAAGTTTTTAACTTGATATTTTTAAGCTTTAGAAACAAACTGTAGGCCTCATAGAGTCAACTGACCATTTTCAAGGCAATTTGACCTTTCATAGTTTTAGTTGGTTATGTTGACTAGACTCAGAATTGCTTGCCTCAAGGGAAGGCTCTTTCAAAGTAAGTTTATTAGGCCTGACGAGTTACACCATATCAAATTAATCAATAATGGAATAATTTTAAAAAATGTGTAATTTGTGCCTTACACAAATTTTACTGTGCACAGACTGGTCATAGAACTTTCCAAAATTCTGGCAAATTTGAGATGGATACTTTTATAAATATTAAAGTACATTAAAGTGACAATGCTGTAAGTGTTTCTTTTAATTTTGTGTGCAAAACAACCCTCCCTTGACTTATAATTAATTGGACTTTTGTCATGATAAGTAACTTGAACCTTAAATAGATGAAAGTGTGCTTAATGTGCATCTTTAATGATGACTGCATTTGGAAGTGGTTTAGGGAATGACACCATAGAATTGATTTCCAAATTTATTATAAATGTATTATGAAAATCTTTAATAAAAGGAAACTATGTTAGTTATCCACAAAATTTAAATTCAATTTTACTAATTTTATATTGTAGAGACAGTGCTGAGGTACTTTAAGATGATTTAACTCAGCATTTGAGTGGTTGCATCTCCAGTGTTCTCTCTTTCCACTTTCCCTCTGCTGATGCTTTCATTATTTCCGGTCACCCAGCTGTCTTATTCCCTCACCCAAGGACTTGCACATATTCCTCACTCCATCTTCAAAGAACTTTTTTTATCCCTCTGTATTGGATCCCCAAATAACAATGAGTTGACTTAAAAACTTTAATTTTGTGATGGTGCAAAAGCAATATATATTCAGAGAAACCTACAATGAATCTTGAAATTTGTCTCTTTTCTGGGTTAGTGATATGTAGTGAGATACTCTCACAATGTTGGGCAGTGGTAGAGAGTCATAGTTACACATCTGGCATGCAATCATGAGGATAAACAACACTCTACAATATATTTTGTTGTCAGCATTTCTTTGGATATTGTGTTTTGTAATTTTACATGCCATCATGTCTGCTTTTCACTTTCAGTACAATATTCAGTAAATTACATAAAATCATAAATACATTTTTAGGCTTTTGTTCTGCAATCATCCCAGGCCGCCTAGGTTCATCATCGGTTCAGGCAGCTTGAAAGAGAATCTTGGGACCTTTGGCATCATCCTCACAGGTTATGGGGAACAAGCCAGCAGGGAAACAGCAACTTAAGCACCATCTCCCACCCCCTGCCACCCCCGCCTGGTGAGTCGCTATACCCCTTTCCTCTCATAGCCATTCTTTGACACTCTCAGATTTACCTTACAGCTTTGTTTTGGACAGTTTTGCCCAACTGTAGGCTAATTTCAGTGTCATGAGCCCACCAAATAAAAGCTAAGCTAACTATGATTTTTGATAGGTGAGTATATTACATGAACTTTGACTTAAGATATTTTCCACTTACGATGAGTTTTAGAGGAAATAGCCACCATTTTAAGTCATGAAAAATCTGTATAAAGCGTCTCTCTCCCTATCCCATTGTCGTCTTCTGCTTCAGGGTCATTTAAATTTTAGTGCTTGTCACAATAAGTAATAATTTTATTTTCTCTAGTTGCCCTTACCCAAGAGACTATAACCCACTCTTCTTCCTCTTCTCCCACCCAAAATGTTACTAGTTTGCTCATACCTACTCGTAGAAAGAAAGAAGTCAGCTTTTTTCCTGAAGTTGTATTACCTTGTCATTATATTAGCTCTGTCTTTTCTTCTCTTTTCCCTTCTCAGAAAGTATGAACTGTGCTCACCACCACCATTGCTACATGTCTCCAGTAATTCATCCTCCTTGTTCCTGCTAAACTCTGGCATTAGCCTGCTGTACTTCATCTGGTGCTTCTCTAAGTTATCCATAGTATTGCCAGATGCATGTAGCTAAAATGCAGATCCACCATTTTTTCCATCTCTTTAATACTGAAATGCTTCTCATTGCATGCTCCATAGCATGATTTCTGCAATTCTTCAATATCTGGCCTCTGACTGTCTGCCTCTACTGACTATGCCCTGTGTGTTTAATAGCTGGAGCTCCAGTCACCTAGGACCATGCATTCACTGGGGACACAGAACTACAAAAGGATGAGGGTTAAATTAGAATGGACTGTGTGAACACTCCTGAATAGGAACGTGAAACAAGTTCCTATCTCATTTATCCCATTGATATTTAGGTATTTTTCAGTTCCTCTCCAATTACCTAATTTTGTAAATATGAATATTAAAATGAGGAAGTCGGACTTAATTATTTAAAGGGTGTTTCTGGCTTTGGGATTCTTGAAAACAAAGCTAAGGTTTAGGTTTAGAGCCTCCTACTCTCATTGCTTCTATACTAGAGTAAACTCTGTGAAGATATCAGCAGTTGACCATTTTTGATATAACAAAGAACTGCAATCTCATATGAACTTATTGTCATATCTTTTCATATTTATTCACTATTTCAAATTAAGCAAAATCAAAATTTCATCTTCAAATTCAAAGTGGCCACAGGGTTCATCAGTCATTCCAAAACCTTATAATGCCATATCTAAAGTTGTAGTATGTGATAGGAATGAGTTTGGAATATTTTTCTTTCAACCTTTCTTCCATTTTGGTAGGGAATATACCAAATGGCTGTCCCAGGACAGACTATTTGTGGAGCAAGCACTGATCTGTTATCCCTGCTCAGAGCTGAATGACAGAAAAACCCTGGTGATATGTTT